AAGAGTGAATGAAAGAACAGTCCAGTCAAAGACGCTGAAGCAAAAGAGCTTGCCATGTTTATTTAGACACTGAAGAAAGCCAAGGTAGCTGAGATATAGTGAACAAGAGGAAAGTGGTAGAAAATGAGGCTGAAAACTATACAGGGCCATGTCAGAATCTGATAAAGAACAAAATACCTATTATTGTATTTGCACAGTACAAACTCCAGAGGTTGGACCTTGCCTATCTCTTCTTTACTAGAAGGATAGGGGTCGGCACAGTTTTTAAAGGAATGAGTAATCCTGACCTACTAATACTCTTTGTTCCAAGGGTACTAGTGTTGCTTCTAAAATAGTGAATTTCTTAAACATTCCATCTGATAGTTTTGACTAGAACTTACATGGTAAACATCCACACTATCTACTATGATGTGCAATACATCAAAAGGAGGTAAAGATGTTTGAATGACATTGCCTGTGACTGCAAAGGAATTTAATGGCTAATAGTATCAAGTAATATAAGGAAATGGATAAAAAGAATGGATGGAAGTTATAAGGAGCATAACCTAAGTATGAAATTAAGCCCACTGCAAAGTACTGAATTATAATGCTTATTATATATTGTATATTGAGGTTTAAATTATCTACCCAATTCTGGGGACTGAAGACCAGGTTGGATGGTGGGTGAACTTGGAGAGGATCAAATGAATGAATGCATGTCAAGCACCTAAAAACATGCTTAATGCCTGACATGCCATCAGCAAGTGAAGCTACCATTATTATCTACAGTGACTTTTTTTTTCCAAAACAAAATTTCAATTTAACTAACACTTAGGCAAATAACAAAATATTTGGATAAATAAGTTGGTTATGTTAGCTATACATATATTACCAAAACGAGAAATGAGCAAGAGTTTCACAGTGGAGACGGCAAAGTTCAAATATTAAGTGTAGCATGAACTAAGAACCAGATAAAAAGTAGCTGCTGCAAGAAGGGTATATACTAAGTATTTATCTTAAAGCTGAATTACAAATCACCTGAGCAATAATACAATGGATTCAGCCTCGCACCCCAGCAGGACACTGTGGTTAGCATGAGGCTAGCCAACTGAATTTTCTAACAAAGAGGCAAAATCAGTTGCATCCTAAGTAGTCTCCCAGCATCAGAATGAAGAGATGGAATCTCCCCCTCTTGCTTGGTTCCTAATCTTTCTGTAGAACTCCAGCAGACATCTAGAACTGGTTTAGATTATTGGCCTTTGCTTGTCTCTCCAGACTATTCCCAACTATAGTGTCACTTCTGGTTTTAAAGCCCTAAAAACTCTACAGGAAGCAAAGGATAGAGAATTATGAATTGGACATGTTGAGTACCAAAAAAGTAATGCAAAGGAGGAAATTTTTCTGCACTGGCAGTACAGAACAAATTGATTTATGAGAACAAGCTGTTTGTTCCAAACGCTGCTAACCAATGAACTTTTCAAGTCCCAGAATTAATACCAAAGTGGTGAGAATAAAACCTAGGGGCTTTTCCCAATGGGTAGGGCAGGCATGAGACTTCCTTGAATGAATCAACAGACAAATGAATAAAGAAATTTACTGGGAAGATTATTTGATTTTGACTCAGACATCCTATAAAATCCTATAGATTAAAGCCAGGTGTGGTTGACCCCTGTGCTCTACAAGTATAAATGAAGAAGCATCTTACAGAAAGGGATCTAGACTGTAGTTCAGTATTCAAGAGGTCTTAGGGAGGTATGGAAGGAGGCTGGGAGTCAGTAAACTATCCGATTATCATAGAAATGAAGGTATTAAGAACAAGCGTAATTTTGATTGCTTTATTAAAATGTTCCTCACAGAATTCTTTACAAAAACATCATGTCCCGAAAAAGTCATTCAACAAACATCAAGACCTTCTGTGTATAGGACATTGATGGAAAAAGCAAGAGAATCCATGTTCCTGATCCTTAATACAACTCCAAAATATTTAAAATTCTGAAAGTTCAGTTCAAAATCTTAAATTTTACTTCACTTACAATTTCAATAGTGCTGAAATTTTCATTTAGTATTGTGCTTATAGTGCTATCCCTGTTTTTTGTTCACAAAAACAAAAGCCTATCATTCCCATGCTACATAAAATATGTATGTTCATGTTTTAGATAAATATTTATATAAAACAAAATTGTTGTAAATAAATAAGAAATCTTAAAGAAACCAAATCAGTATCAAAGTTAAAATTAAAATGTATGTAATCCACTAATTCTAAAGTTTAGACAAAGTTTTAGATCTTCTTCATGAAAGAAATGTACGAACTGTACCCTTGATTGTACCTCTACAAATAGGGCATTTTCTTAGAGAAGGGGCACAATCTTTGCAAACTACTAGATGACCGCAAGGAATAAACACTATGGACACTTCTTTGTCCATACACACTTTACATGTTCTTTCTTCTTGTAGTCTCCTCAATTGTTCTTCCATTGGTAAATCTAAGAAGAGAAAAAAATTTTTAATAAAAGGCAATTTGCTGCTTCTCCTCCAATGAAAAGCCAAGAAAATAAAAAACAATGTTTTCTACTGATTTAAATTATTAATACTATTTTACCTGAAACATTTTCTGTGGGAATGTATTTTATGTCTTGTTGCACTAAGGGAGAAAAAGCAAAAGCATTACTATGACAAATAAGGTTAACAATATTTAGTCACAGAATATATATTTTTAAAGTAACAGTTTAGACTCTGGCCAAATACTATAGATAATTTTCATAATCTCAAGGCAATGAAAGCCTTCAATCTTTTTGTACAATTAATAGTTTATAAATTAGGTTGAATTATTTTCAATAATCACAAATCATTAATAAAAGCGTATTTTCAATTGACCTAGGAAGTTCCAAAAGTAATTTTCCAGCACTCACCAAATAAATGCTGGTATAACATGGGGTCAATTTCTTGTAGAGTGTTTTTGAATATGGTGGCTGCAAAATTTCCTTTCCCTAAGATAGTATCAATCAGTTCTCTTGCTTGTAAGGATGTCTGTGTTTTTTGTTTAATAACATCATGTTCTTGCTCGCTAATCACTCTGGCAGTTAGTAGACTATCCAGGATTGGAAGCGCACAAGTCAAATGTTGAAAAAGTGCCATTCTATTTTTCCGGATTAATGATAGGTCATCTTTATAGAAAAGAACACAAACACAATCATGTTCAAACTCTGCCCACAAACTTCCTTCCACATATACACATAAAACTGAATGAAAACAACCATAATTCATAATCAGTTGGCACTGAAGTTGATTGCTAGCTTTGGGGGTACCTGATGCCCTGTGCTTGATAGTAACTCTACTTATAATAAGAACTAACACTGAGCACTGTGGTAGGCACTTTCCAGCATTAACTCATTTCATCTTCACAACAGCCCTTTGAGGTAGGTACTAGTACCCTTATTTAGCAGGTAAGAAAATAGAGGTACAGTGAGGCAAGTAAATTGCTAAAGGACACATAACTAGCAAAAGTCAAACTGAGGCAATTTGGTTTCATAATCTATGCTCTCTACCATTCTGCAATACTGCCAATCCTTTAACCAAATAAAACTTAGAACCAAATAAAATTGAAATTTTAATCCAATCTAGTCAAAGTGAAAAGGCAAAATCAAGGGAATTAAAATGATAGAACATTTCTTAAATTATCATTCACCCATAAAACTTCTTTAAAATTCCATTTTAAGAGGAAATTATTAATTAATTATTATTTCCCAAAATTAGACATGATATTGCTATTACCTCAATGTTTTATAGTAAGGGGGGAAAGGCACTAAAAGCATTTTGAAAAATAAATCCTACTTGTCAATACCTTCCTGTCCTATAGGATCTCCGTATTCTTCTTCCAGATCTAGATTTTGTATCTAGTGGTAAAATATTTTATATTTGCAACTCTGCAATTTTATTATCTCTTTGGAATATGACTTATGATTCCAAGTTTATTCATTAACTATCATATAGTTTTACCATGATCCATAAAGCTTTTCTATAAAATAAAAAGAGAAGTTGGGCTGTTTAAAGAAGAATTATTTGAGGGGAGATGATCATTAGATTTTAGAAACTCTGACTTTGTCAAATAATAGGACATATAAATACAACTGTTTAATAAGGAATAAAAAACAGTGCTTAGTCAGAAAGTCCAGGCTCTAGATACATATTTTGAAGAGAATTGAAGCTCTGAGAATAAAGGAGAAAAGGATCAGGACCTAGAACAGTGTCTGGCACAAAGTCAATGTTCCACAAATACCTG